AGTCTGTCAGTTGTGTCAGCAGTACTGGTAAGAGAACGCTTTATTACACAATGACTACAATAGCACATAATGGACCATTGTTCTGGCTTGATGTGGTAGAAAGGTCACTTGTCAAAAATTTCTTCTACCATAAAATCCCATTCTGCCATTTCTATACCCTTTTATCTGCCGCCTCTTCCTCTCTTTCTGCTCTACATTGTTTTTATTCCCCCTCTGGGTCTTTTGCCACCTCTCATTGGATTTCTTAATGATTTACTCTACATGGTAAGAGTTCTTTCATCTGTCATTAAGGTTATTTGTTTAAGAGAAACCCTTGTCACATGCAGGTATTTTGGGATTAAGGGTAATGATATGGCGAAGTGTGGTTTTCCTTCCTGTCCCATTTCAGTCATCACTGCATTTGTGTTTGTGAAACATTTTAAGTGCTTGTCATGTGGACACAGACAGTCATGGTCTTTGTCTTAAAGTAACATTTCCTGCACTCTTTAAAAGTAATTCAGAAAAGTTGGACACCTCGCTGTTTTCTGGGCAATGACAGCTATTGTTCATGTATATGTAGCTTATGTAGATGAAAAAAGATGGGTGCAAAAACAACAAAACAAACCCCAACACCACAGCTTGAACTCTCACAGGCTCTGGGGAGGCCAATCCATGACTGATGGCGTTCCATTGTGTGTGTTTTCCTATACTGGTATGCTTTCATTGCATTGGCAACGTGTTTGGGGTCCTTGTCATGCTAAAAAATGAAGCTGTAGCTGATCAGTGACTTTCCAGATGGTTTTGCATGGTGGATCAAAATCTGGCCGTATTTTCCTGTGTTCATAATTCTGTCAGTTTCGACAAGAGCTCCATCTCACTGGCTGAAATGCAGTTCCGGACCATGATAGACCCTCTGTCATCTTTTACAGATGGCTGTAGACATTCACTGTTGGATTGATAACAACTTGAGCCAAAAATGTCCATTTTGGATTCATCACTCTGTGAAACCTCTGGCCACTGATGTCAGTACAGTTCTTGTGTAATATGACATACCTTGTCAGGGTCCGTTATGAATGGCTTCTTCCTTTGAGGCCATTTCTCATGAGTCTTTGGCCAACACGAGATGGATCAACTGAAGGGCCAGGTCATTTCTCAGGTCCTGTGTCACATCTTTGCTGGA